AGGGTTGGATATACAGGGTTGGATATACAGGGTTGGATATACAGGGTTGGATATACAGGGTTGGATATACAGGGTTGGATATACAGGGTTGGATATACAGGGTTGGATATACAGGGTTGGAAATACAGAGTTGGAAATACAGGGTTGAAAATATAGGGTTGGAAATACAGGGTTGGAAATCCAGAATTGGAAATGAGGGTTGGAAATCAGAGTTGGAAATACAGGGCTGGAAATACAGGGCTGGAAATACAGGACTGGAAATCAGGGTTAAAAAAACCGTGAGTTTTTTCAAAAAAAAACCAGCCCAGTGGGTTTTATTGGGTTTTAATGTTTTCAATTTTTTTTTTTGGTATTCCAATGGCCCAAAAAAATATCCGCGAACCTTTTTTCTCTTGAAATCTAAAGTTCAGAAAAGCAAAAATGTGTAATTAAATTATTTCTATCAAAATCTAAAATTTTATAAAGATTGAATCACAGAATCACAGATAATTCGCAAAATTGTAATAAGAAAATTTGAAATTTTCAGTTCTAGCCTAATTTTTAATGAAAAGTTGTTTTGCGATGACTCTTCAGGTTTCAACTGAACAGCGTATATTTAAAACTTTAGAATATACTAAGAAGAATTTAAATAAATTTTCCTTAAAAATTAGACTGAAAACTGCGAATATCACAATTTTGCCAATTTTCTGTGATTCTGTGATTCAATCTTCATAAAATTTTAGATTTTGATGGTAATAGTTTATATACACATTTTTTCTTTTCTGAACTATTGATTTTGAGAGAAAAAAGGTTCGCGGATTTTTTTTTGAGCCGTTGGAATAACAAAAAAATAAAAAATTTCAAAAATATTGAAAAAACACCATACAGAAGAGTTGCACAAAAAAGGTACAATTTTGCACCAGGCGCCGCTAATCACACTTTTTTTTGACTCACCCTGTACATATGAATATAATCCCTCTTCGATGTCCCGAAATAATCCTACCCCGCAAGGATATCTTTTATTGAGGGATCAAGCATTGATCCATAAATTTCAAACTGTCTACATTGGATGTCGAGATCAAAAACTCAAGATTAACAATATCCATACAAAAGTTCCGATCTCCTATTCTTACCAAGAGGAACTCACAGCAGGCATCCCTGACATAATTCAGCTGAAGTAGGTTAGCAGCTGGTAGCAGGGTCTGCACATTCTCCTCTGTAACCTCAACCTTAAAGGATATTCATTTTATGTATATACTTTGCTTGGGTGTCAGTCTGTTTGTCTGACCGTCTGTATTCAATAAACGTCAAAACGATTTAACCGAACGGGCCCAACTTTTGTGTGGGAACTCACATGACCCAGGTTTTTGAAAATGCGCCAATTCGAAAAGAAAAATCCGCCAAAATTTGAAAATGATTTAAAACGGCCGACTTTAAGTGCAAAATTTAAAAAGCTAAAATTATTTACAGAAAAGGGGGCGCGAAGCACCCTAAAGCCTGATCTTTTCAGAAATATAATTAACACAAAATTTTCAACAACTAGATTTGCCCCTAATTATGTAATATTACAAGAATATTAGAGTTCCAATGGCCAGGGTAATTTACAGAGGTACCCGTCCCATAACCAGTTCTATTTGTTACGGTTTTAAGGAGCTGGAAAATATTTAAAGCAGATTTTCATGTGTCTTTATATATGTGTTTTTAGTGGAATTTGGGTGTAGCACCTAAAAAGTTCACAATGTTCACTTAGGTTAATCCTAGATTAATCCTTTCGCTGATTTTTTTAGTTTAATCTGTCTAGTTGACCTACCTTATCTCAGTTGAATCAGTTAAAGTTGACCTACCTGCTCTGGCATGAATCTGTTTAAGTTAACCTACCTGCTCTGGTATAAATCTGACTACCATCTCTAGTATGAACCTGTCTAGGTTGACCTACCTGCTTTGGTATGAACCTGTCTAAGTTGACCTACCTGCTCTGGTAGGAACCTGTCTGAGTTGACCTACATGCTCTGGTTTGAAACTGTCTAAGTTGACCTACTTGCTCTGGTTTGAACCTGTCTAAGTTGACCTACCTGCTCTGGTATGAACCTGTCTAAGTTGACCTACCTGCTCTGGTATGAATCTGTCTAAGCTGACCTACCTGCTCTGGTATGAACCTGTCTAAGCTGACCTACCGGCTCTGGTATGAATCTGTCTAAGTTGACCTACCTGCTCTGGTATGGATCTGTCTAAGTTGACCTACCTGCTCTGGTATGAACCTGTCTAAGTTGACCTACCTGCTCTGGTATGAATCTGTCTAAGTTGACCTACCTGCGATGTATAAACGTAGTCTATGAGTGTTGTGAGTGCTTCAGGATCTACTCCCTTTATATTCACCCTGCTGCTGTCCCTCTCAGTAAACCCTAGAGGAAACTTTATAAATAGAGTTGAAGATTTATGAATGGACGAGATAAGATTTCATCCTAAATTAACTGATTAATTGTTGCTCACAACTTCGCATTGTAACCCGTAAGAGGAGGAAGGGGGGGGGGAGGAGGTATTTTCAAGATTTGGGAAGGAAAAACATAATCTGACAAAACTTTAATACTTCTTAAACATTTCTTTAGCACAAGAAATCATTTACTGGCCCCTTGAATCATTTGTTTTTCCTGTTTCAGCGAGAAAAAAAATTATTGAAAATGTTACGTCTGCATTCCTTATAACAGAGGAGAATTTTTTTAAGAGAGAGGGGGATTTGCCTCTAAAAGAAATACCCCTGTATAAATATGGTACCTGTAAACATAGCGAAGAAGTAAGGAGAGCAGGAAGCTAGGATCATCTTATGAGCCTTGATCTCAAGGTTCTCAGCCACCAGGGTTATATCACATAGTAGACCAGCAGACCGTAAACTATATTATTTGTAACTTTTATTTTTTAATCTTAAAAACGTCGATGAGAGTCCAGGGGCGTATAACTTCTTGAAAAGTAATTCCCCCCCCTCTTGAAAATCATTTTTGAGCTAGGTATTTATGCTTATTGGTGAAAAGAAATGATCTTTATGGGAAGATAAATAGTTTTGGAGAAGAAGAATCAAAAGTATAAACAAATTTGCCTTTGAGATGTTAATACTTTCTTAACAATTTACACTCCTATGCGAGTCAAAATGATAATATATTAATGGTAGCCATTTTGAAAAAAAATTCTTTCTCGAAACCCCTGAAAAGTGGAAAAGTTTATTGGTTCATGCTTTTCTGGACAAACTGTAGAGTATAGTGTATATCTTACAATTTAATTTGACCTCGGCTATATAATTCCGCTGAGTAATATTCTCTAAATTGTCCCCTGCACTAGATTGACCCAGTTGACTATGAGAATTTATAACTCCGGTATTTTTGAAAGCTCTAAAAAAGTTGACGAATGAATTTCAAAATTGTCTTACAGATTTCAGAAGACCTTTTGGACAATTGCCAAGTCATTTTTCGTGGGACACCCAATATATATGGCTCGGTTGATTGTATGCCATAACTATAAAAACGACCAACATTTTTGTGTTAACTTGAATGAATTCAAGAAGGGTCTATGACCAGAGAGCTGAAAACTTTAGAAAGGTAGATATCGAGATTAATGCTTAATTCTCTCTTTTTCTTAATATCGATACTAACCTAACCTTGTTCTTGTATCCTGAAAAGAATATAAAATTCGACCAATCAGAGTCGTGAATATGAAGCCAATTAATTAAAAATTTTGCGCTCCATTTAAGATTAATATACGGAAACGGGAGGGACTCAGTAATTTTGAAAAAACCGGTTTTCGATTTTTCTCTACTATATTCAAGAAAGAACGGTTTAGGAAGAAAATAAAAAGTGTGTCCATTGGATACTTAGATTAAGTAATCGCGATTAAGGATATCTCATTCTAAAGTTTTCAGAATTTTTTTAATTTTTATTTGCTTCAAAACTGAAAAATCCACCAAATTTTAAAAAGTTGTTTTATTGTATTGCACATTGTCGAATTCAGAGTTTACACGTCAGCAACAAAAACAATTAAGGTTATCACCAAAGAGAATAGAATATATATTAGAGTGAAATTTACTAGAAAAAAGTGTAAAACGGCCATTTTGTTGTACTGTTTCCATACTGCAGGTGTACTTCACATATTTGTGCTATATAACCTTTTGGGCCCTGGAACATCATTTTATAGAAAATCTAAAATTAATATTAAAAGAAAACCAAATTATGAAATAGGCTGGTTTCATAATTGACCAATGATCATTTCACATAGACTATATGCCTTTCACTTTACAAACATGATTTTCTGTTATTACTATAAATCAAATTAAGTTTTTATTCACATAATTCATTTTATAAAGTTTATTTAACAGCTTTAAAAACTTCGAAATTGAAATGGATAGTTTAGGAAACATACTGTATTAATTTACTCTACTACATATAATTTGTGAACATTTACATGATTTGTACACTTTGAACTCCCTTTGAGGCTAAAAAGGAAAAAATTCATACCGAGGGATTGTCTAAATTCCACTCTAATACATATTCTATTCTCTTTGGTTATCACTAGAAATAACAACAACAAAAAAACTAAAATTATCACTAAAAATAACAACAACAAAAAAACTATGGATATCACTAGAAATAACGGCGGCACTGAAATATATCTAGTGTCTAGAAGAACACCATGAGGTATAAGTAGGCTCTCTTCTACCTGTTCATTCCGTCCACGATCTTTAAAGGATGATTAGGATTCTTGTACGGAGGTCGACGTGTTTCCCCGGACTACAAAAAACAATATTTAATTAAAATACAATTAACATAAAACACTTAGTTAAACGCTAAGAAAACTAAAGATAGAAATGTTTATATCATGCAGAATTACTCCCCAAAAATTAAGAACAAAATGTAATTCAAAAATGCAACTTTTCGTTTTAAAATAATACTTCAACTTTTACTCCAAATATATTCTTTAAAAAAATCATTTAAATCGCTCAAAAGACATTTATGTAGAAAGCCAAGCACATATGCATAACAAAATGCAAGGGAGTTTGGGTAGGATTTTTCAATAATGCACACTGTCACCAGTTTAAAACGATATCATGACTCACATGATTAATATGATATCACCTTGCCGCTGAATTTTTGAGACGATTCGTCTAGACTGGACTGGGAGGCGTGGCGGAGAAGCAGCTGCCGTGGTTGAGGAACTGGAGGATTCATTCCGCCGCCGGCTTCAACCTTCATTCAAATATTTCTTAGGAAAGGTATAAAATGAAGGGACTGCACATAGATACTGCCGGCCAATTTTTAGCTAATAAACAAGCAGAGGCGTATTCAGGGGGGGGCTATGGGGGCTAAGCCCCCCCTGGACCAGTGAAATCGATTGATTTCAGGGGTTTTTCAGGCCCAAACGGGTGCTAAGCCCCCCCCCTGGAAAGAGAAAAAAATTTAAGCCCCCCCCCCTGAAAATTCCTGAATACGCCCCTAAAAACAAGATATCTTCACCATTTATTATCAGGGAAAGGTTTTTAAAAATCCGTTGTAAATCGGAGAAGCTAGGAGGGAACCTTGAAATCCTTTTTGTTGCAAAATATACCAACAAAGTATAAATCTTTATTATTCGAAGGGGCATTTATTTAAAAAATGATATTCCAAAAATTTGTTTGTTCCACTTCTCCGAATCATTCATACCAAACAAGTGAAAAAAAAAACATTTTAAAAACATAAATATAAACATTAAACATTAAACAGTCTATTTTTTTAATAAAGAAATTTTTCAAGATATTCAAAAAGATTTTCAGTCTACGTTTTAAATTCGTAACTTATCCAATTTAAAGTTTACCTCGTGACCAACTAGTGCTTCTGGAGCAAGGGGTTCTGGTATACCAGGAGCTAGAAAACCATGATCAGCAAACGGATCCTTTAACCAAATCAGTAAAAACATACGTCATTTGAAATATAAATAAACTGTTTTTTTAACTTATTTTGTTTCTCTTTTGCAATGCTTATGGCTTCATGAGAGAGCAAGGTAATATTTTTTCTAAAACCAAAAAAATAGTTTATCAATTTCAAGTTTTTTCACCCTTATTGATATTAATGCTTAGAAAAAAAAACACTTCTAAAAATAATTTGATTTCCCCAATACTGAGAATTATACCCAATTTTTTTCTGCGCAAATATTCCTTACATTTGAAAATTTATAAATTCTGTGAAAAAAAAATCAAATTATTGATAAATTTTTTTAATTCAAGTCAAATAAAATTTCTGAGTTGACAAGCCTGATAATCTGGAAGAAGACCTAATCCTTGACCTTCATGGATCTCAACCTAGAAATAGGAAAAAATCAAATAAAACTTAACAAGCAATTTTCCTTTTTGGTTTGAAATATCACAATTTATAAATAAATTAAGCTTGTCTGTTTGCGTCCAATAAACGTCAACACGGCTGAACCGATCAGGCCCAAATTTTGTCTGGGACCTCACGTGGCCCCAGGGAAGGTTTATGGATGATCAAAATTTCAATTATTTGCCTCCATCAAAATTCCATTTTTATCAAATTTTGGAAAATTTTGGAAATCCACGAAATTTTTGTTAATCTGCAAACTTTTATTTTTTGTTTTGTTTTACGATGTACAGAAAGAGAACATGTTCACAACTAAAATAGAATCTGGGCGCGAAGCGCCCTATACGACTAGTGTTTGTATAAATTAGTAAATAAAAACGCCTTATTTAAAATCTACCAAAACCTTTTTTGTAATCGAAATCTTCAAATACTTTTTATGTAACTAAAAATTAACGAAATTTTACAAATAGTTTCATGCGCCCTTTTCAAAATAAGAAGATGATTAATCTTCCCGCCATTTTTATTTAAAATAAATGATCACAGATTTTCAAATTTTTAAAACTTTTCTTGTTTAGCATCTTGAATAACAGCTAAAAAAATCAATTATAGATGAAGGGGGATGTAAGGTGATCCTCAATATTAAAAATGGCAACTTTACCCTTCAGTCTTGTAGTTGCTTCTCATTAATAATGCGGAGGATATTTTGCGTTTTTTTATCTCGAAAATAATTTAAATCCAAAAATTTCCTTCGTTGTATGTGTAGCATATATCCGCAATTCTCTTCTACACAGACGCAAAAGAAGAACTTGTTTTCTCATCCTTGCTCAGACGAAGGGTCAAAGGGTAGTTTTGTGAATATTTGTATGTAGATAATTGAAGCACTTGAATTTCCGTCTGTAGTCCCTTTAAAGGTATATAATACCCCTGTGTTAACCTGGAAAGCTGGATTATGCTGCATATCCTCAGGAACATCAGGCAGTAGTACATCATCCATGCCCTGTAATATTCATTTTGCAAATATTATGAACATCCGGATCTGAATCCTTTATCCGCCCTGAAAAAATGGATCAGAATCCATTTACTGATTTAAGATTTACTGATTTATTAAACATAAAGAAATTACAAATTATTCTTTTTTTCTCGCTAATTATCATAATCAATCAAGTCCATTTATTAACAGTAATTCCATTTAAATGATTTCCACTAACAATTAAAAAACATTGCTAGATTTTGGCTTTAATCTGAATAACAAATGAATACCCGTAAGATTATTGACAATAATTCTCTTCTGAACTGCAAGAATGAACTTAACATTGAAAACAAATCAGCTCATAAAAAAATCCCTTGACCTTAACTCTTATATTGTGGTAATGTTTATCTGCAGATTAATTTAATCTTAATCCCTTGACCTGGTCCATGTTGGCTGGGTCCCGTCCTACTTCGAACACCTCCTCCATCTTATTCGTCTTCCTGTAGAGCTCCTAGAGGATGGTTTCCGCCTAGAACAACCTTAACCCGAGCTCCTAAACTAGTTCACTCTCTGCTGAACACATTCTACCTGAGATTAAAACTGTTCACAGGAGGAAACTCTTGTATTGTGATTATCGAGATCAATCTGCAGATTAATTTAATCTCAATATGATAGACCGCATGTTTAGTTAGGGAAGCCCCTTCTACCCCTGAAATTATTATTCTTCAGAATAGATTTTTAAAATATTTCCCCAGTGGCGCCACTTATTCATTTAAAATGAATATTTATTATATAAATCCAAATCTTGCTATACAGTGCTAAGGATCCGGGTCCGGATCCGTTGGATCCGCAAGATTTTGGCTTCCTGGATCCTTTTTAAAAATATAATTGGTTAATGGCAACCATTTGTTGGGCAATGACATAAATTAACCCGCTATCGGCTGCGGTGCTTATACGTCCCCTATAAATTATTTTACATAAAACTCATCTATTTTCCTCAATTTAAAAATCTTTCTCTAGGAATATACCAATTCGTCTTTTTCTAAAGTTTTCAAATACAGTTTTACAAATAATGTCCCCTCCCCACATCCCGTCCCTCTCATACTAATGTCGAGTCAAGGGCGTACACAGTGAGGGGAAAGGGGCAGTGCCCCCCTAAACATGTGAAGGGGGGGGGCGCAGAGCTATCACACTTTTCAAATCTTGAACTGTTAGTACAGAACATAACCAAAAAAGTTTGCTGTTCAGAAGTTATGAAGGGAGTCCAGGCATCACACCGGGTCCGTCCTAGTATACGATTTTTGGCCCCCCTCCCCCCTAGATTTATTTCTGTGGACGCCCTTGTAATGAGTACAAAAGATATTTCAGTTCACAGTTATAGTTCCTTTCCATAGAGCGACAGAAATGTATTCAGCTATGTATGTCCATTGAACAATAGTTTACATTACGCAATGCGGAATGCCGCAAATCTATTTTACCTACAAAACTTCACGAAACCTCACAATGACGACAAAACTGGGGATTCATAATTAATGTCACTTAAATAAACCAATTCTTAAAAATATAAATAGTTGATTAACATTTTTTTAAAATTAAAAGCAAATTTTATTGAAAATACGGGATAATATTTTCCAAATATTAGACTTTTTAAGGATTCACCCTGTAAAAACGTCTACACCTGACACGACGGGGGGTCATAATAGGATTTAAATTTAAAAATTAAATCAAACATGAAAAATACTTTGAAAAAAAAACAATAAAATGAAGTAGAATTTAAATATAAAAATCTAAGTCCCCGTTACCCCCTCCCCACCCCGCGGTGTCTCAGGCTATACGGCGAGTTAGACTCAGGCAGTAAGTAAGCAGAATTAAATTCTGATGGGTAGTACTACTCGGCTGAGATGAGGGGGGTAGGGGGAAATTCTTGAGGTGAAATGCGCGGACCAAGCGATAGAAAATCCGGGCACTCAAGCACTGACCAACCGCCGGGCCGGGCCTTAGTAGGTCTTGGGCCGTCTGCTTGAAGACACAAGCGCATGCGTAACTATTGTCTCCACACGCCCATTCGCAATTTCATGTTACTTGTTAGTTGTTAGTCACTTGTCGAACGACAATCAGAGTGGTGGGATCAAAGTGAAGCAACAAAGTGCCATTTTAAACCTAAAAGTGTACATGTATATATAAATCAAGTTATAGAAAATAGTGAATTTTTTCCAAAATGAAATCTGAGCTTGTGAAATAAATCACCGCGTATTTTCCTAAAAAAGAAAGTTATTCAGTTGTGAGGAAGGAATACATGGGCAGAGATAGGGCTACTATGCAGTCGTATGATAGCAAGAATAAATAAATGATGGGTGGGGGTGGGGAAGAGGATTCCTCTACACAAAACAATATTT